GGGAAGTACATTCTGTGTTCTGCTGCAATTCACCTCTACTACAGAAGTTTGACATAAGAATTCCACTGGAATTGTATCCCATTATTTTGTCTTAAAATACTTGCTGTTAAAATGTCAATGTTGTGTTTTAAATAATTCAGTAATTTTTTGGGTGTATTTTAAGTGAATCTTTGTTTTTAAAGGGCTTCATTTTCCATACTGGATCCCATATGAATTAAATTTTGTAGTGTTATTACTGTATTTTTGTACTTAGGAACTAACCGTGGGGATTTTATCTTGAAGAGGATTTTAGGATATCTGAAAATAGGTAGTTACATAGATACAGCATTGTAACAATTAATTTGATGTTACAGCATGTGTTTATTACAGTAATTTATAATAAATATCTCCAAATTAGATAATTTAATGTACATGCCTGGTGTTGTTGATCTTGTATTATGTTCCTTAATTAATCAAAAGACTTCTTGTCAGATGGGGTGAGAATATCCATTATTATACTTAGGTGTTATTACCTAGTCATGAACTAGCTTTTAAGCTTTTCAATACATGTTGCTTCTAAAACAATAAATAGAGCATTTACAAATTAGTTTATATCGTGTTGTCAGTATAAATACGTACATTTACATTAGCATATAAATTCTTATAAAAATAAGGAGTGTGTCTCTATATGTACAGACAAATAAGAGAATTTTGCAAATGGAAATGCTCAACAATTTGGAAATTCCAGGAGTTTTGATTATGTATTAAGTAATCCTCTTAAACATATGTGTTGTGGTAATTACAAGTTTTAATGTGTTCTTAGTTAATATGCAAAGGCCTGATCTTTGGACAATTTGCAGTAGGTCATATTTGTGTTCAGGCTGTCTTTAGGTAGAATATTTGGGAGGGTAAGCTTACACTCCATAGAAGTATCGTATCTATGTTCAGTGTATTTATAGTCCAGTACTTACAAGATGGTCAAATTTCAGCTGTGTTTTGGTGGGGATGGCCAAGAGCTGTATGATACACCTCAGTCCACAGTTGCAGAGCTTCCTGCAGCGTATGGAAGGTGTAGCACTTTGCAAAGAGCAGATCACTGCCAAGCAAAAGCTGAGTTGTTCAAAAACAAGCAAAAAAATAGGACGGGGAGGGAAGGGGAGAGATCACTGCTGTATTTCCAGAATTGAAAGATGCAAAAACTTAGTCTGAAATACCTACCATGGAAAAAATTTAGAAAACTTACCCATTCAATTAAGTTAAATAATCAGCAAATTTCACACCCAGTTAGTGTGATAAGAAACATCACACGTATGTCAATGTTTCTAAAATGTGTAGGCAACTCTCCACCTCGCCCAGATAAATAAGTAACCGATTACTTAAAATATGGTTTATAGTGAATAAAAAACTAACTTCAGAAATCTGCTGTCTGAAAACTTTGCAACTCTGAATGTTACGTGCTTTATATATTAAAATTATTTTTCTGCAAGTTCTGACTCTGTTCCCTTTGAAGCTTATGAGATACATAAATAACACACTTCTCCGGAAGAACCATGTAATTTTCAAATAGTTGCTTAAAATAAAAACACTTGCAGAAACAATTGTTTGCTGTTGATGACGCAGCTGATTGCAGCTCTAGAGAAGACATATGTGACTCATGAGCTGTATGGTCATTTCAAATTCATATTGTTATATCTTTGTACCACTATGTAACCGCAGTGTTTGATGCTTAAGCTGTCATATTTAAAATTTTAATATATATGAGAAATATAAATATACCTGGTATATGTGAGCTGTTTCCGTTTTGCAGAGGAATTGCTGCTTTTCCCAAGGTAGCACTTAAACTTTTTTTTGGCCTATACTTCACTATAGATTTAAAAATGTGTTATGTAATACCTTCATTGAAATATGTATGTATGCCTATATCTAAATGCAGTATTGCTTACAATTAATACTATAAGAATATGAATAACTGTATCCCAAACTTAAACAAAAACCAGCTGTGAAAGTAAGCAAGGTATGAAATATGAAACAAGGGATTCCCTTCTCAGTGATGGCATCAGACCTGCACGTACAGCACATTTATAATCCTGTTGGAAACTATTATCAAATACTATTTGGAGTAAGGATTCCATTCTAGTATGCAGGAACGGTATCATGTCTAATAGATGAGGTAGGGGTTTAGCTGGAAGACGATGGATTGACTAATGTTGCAATACACAGAATCTAGATTCTCTTTTTTGTTTTCTCCTTCTGTACAGGCTTCCAGTGAAGGATTACAGGGGTTATACAAACAGTCATGTGTTGCTTTGTTTCCACCTTTGTGAAATAGATAGGAAACAGTCCTAAGCCCAACAAGAATTTTCTTGGTGATCTATAATTCAAAATGTGTAATCTGTAAGAGTAGCGTTATGCACCCTTCAAAAGCATGCATACAGAGAATGTAGTTACTAGGGGGCTTGTGTCGTTTTCTGTATTTGTTTTCTGGCTTTGCCTTTTTAAAAAAAATTTTGTTTTCTTAAGGTGCGTTGTTTGTGTGGAGCATAGTACATCTGTTCAGAATGTTTCTGCATAAACCTTCTTTCTTATCACTCGGGCACATTGTGTAAACAACTAGTTTTAAGGTTGTTTTTTGCTGTGTCTGTGCTGAACTGTTAAATGCTGTTGAGTTGTCATCTCTTGTCAGAAAACACTACCTTGGTTACCCATTCATCAGGGCTTTTTGTTTTAACAAGTGTTTTTCTTCTTTCGTCCTGTATGCAAAAGAGAAATAATTTATAAATACTTACAGAACTCTGAAGTCACCTACTTGAAACCTTTTCGCTTTGCTCTGGTGCCTACAAAATGCTTGACAGTCATTAGGTAGCTAATGTGCTGTGACCACTGCTTATTACGCTAATCATAATTAACACACTGATTTCCTGAGCTCTATGTGTTGTCCTGTACTGGGACTGTGGTGGTCTTATTGGCAAGTTTTCACTGCATGTAGAACAGCATGGCTGTGATCTTGTGATGGCACCAATAGTTATTACTTAGTTATTAATAGCTAGTATAGAAGAATCTGAATTTGAGTTCACTGGAGTTGATTTAAAAAAACAAAACAAAACCAAACACACACCAACAACAAACCAAACCACCAAGCAGCTTTTAGTGGGGCTTTGGTATTGATCCTGTATGAGGAATGGGACCATGCACATATGAGGCCAGAATCCCATCAGAAATACACTGAGAATCTGGTTTTGCTCACAGGTTAAATTTTGCAATCCAGTGCAAAAGAAGCCTCCTCATAGGACCTGTGGGGTACCCAGCTTTCTGTGGCCGTGTGCTGAATATTTAATTTTCTCCTGAATGAGAAAAGACATGTGGCAAAGGGATTATTCTTTGAACTAAGTGTGATCATGAGTAAAAAAGGAAGTATATTAAGTGTGCACAGGACAGGCAGACTTTCATTTCATCCCTTGTGAAATAATATTTTCACATAGTTCCTAAAAAATCTGGTTTAACATGATTCTTTTTAGAACAAGTTAGGCAGTGGAATTACATGGCCTTTCTATGTGGAAGTACCATTACTGTGCTGACTTTAAGAAATTGGTTTTATTTTCTCAGTTTTCTCTAGGAAAAGTTTGAAGATTTCTGTTTATTTTGAAAGACAGGTGCTCTGTATATCCATATACAATGGTTTCCTGATGTAGAAGTATGTGTTGTATAATTTAATACAATGCTGTTTGTCAGTTGGGTATTATGTTGGTTCATATGCAAAAAGAGGTTATGTGCTTTCTCAGTATAAATTCTGACACTGTGAAATATTACATCTTTCTTTTATTAAAGCCTTGGCAGTGAGTACCAGGAGTTCTTAGTGATTTTGATGAATTAACTTAGTCTTGGAAGTGTAAGATATGTAGGTGCTAAGGGCTGGTATAAGGTAAGAAGCTTCAGCAGCCTTTTACTAATATGTTTCCTGCTATCCTTTTCTCTGAACAATAAATTGCAATATTTTCAACAGATCCCCTGTAAGCAGCTTGCAGATTCGCTATGATCAATCAGGGAACAGTTGTGGGGAAAACTTGCCCCCAGTAGCAGCCAGCATAGAACAGCTTCTGGAGAGGCAGTGGAGTGAAGGACAACAGTTTTTATTAGAGCAAGGCACCCCTAGTGACAGTAAGTACTCACATTCTGTTTATTACTGCTTTTGTTAACGGTGTTATTCAGAACTGCCATTCAGTGCTTGTCCAAGATTTTTGAAAAACTTATTTTCTGCTGTCAACAGAAATGTAACTGTAGTGTATAATGGTCACATAGTTTTTAATGCAGCACATGGCTTCAGTAGATTACAAAAGAGTTCTCTATAATTATCTACATTTTTATGGATGGGGAAATTGTGTCATGCAAGAGGAAGTGACTTGCAGATCCAGCTGGTCGGTTGCAGAGTTTGGAAATTCATTCTGGACTCTTAGATCCATTGCTGTAAATAGTATAGCACAGTTCCCCAGTTTGCTTTACATCGTGTGATACAAATTGGCAAAATTTTTATTGTTATATTTTTCATTTAAAAAATCTAAACTGCCTACTTCCGTTGCTGTTTTAAAATAATATTTACAAATGTTAGGCAGGTGTCCTACTGGGCTTTCATATCCTTATTATGAGCAAGCAAATCAGTATTTCCTCAAGTTATGTTTAATAGAGTGGAATAGTCTGAGAATGGATATGTTAAAAGTGTAATTGATGAGTAGATCACTTGGATCTCCATATTCAACAATATATCAGTATCAAAGACAATGATTAAATGCATTAAATTTTTTTTTTTAAATACCAGGTTAGGGTTTGTATTATACTTTATTGAACATATTATTCTTCTCGTTGGTAGTGCAAAGTGGTATCTAGTTGGTATTTTTATGAATGGTATCCTGACAAAAATGCTAATTGTGAGGAAATTCATGCAGGGATAATCCTTTAAACATGATAGCTGGAGGACAGGTTTAGCTAAGTCTTATTGCATCTCATTTGGACTCACTGAGGGTTCCTTTGTATGTTCTTGAAGAGGAGGGATAAAAGCTAAATCCTTGGGAAATGACCAGATGTGCCTATACCAGTAGACTTATGTCTGTAGTAGGCCCAGAGGTCATGTTAAACAAATACAATTTAGAATTTTAAAAAAAATGGCTATCCCTGTGGCTTTACAGTCACACTCTAGTACTAGTTGGGAAATCCAAGTTCTGAAACCAAATCGGAGTTTGAGAAAACTGCTTGGTGAAAATCAGGGTAGTACAGAAGATGATGCCCTTTTTCTGAGGGGAAAAAAAAAAAAAAAAAGAAAAAAAAAGAAAAAAGAAAAAAAAGAAAAAAGGGGTGGTAACTGCAGTGCTCACACAGTGCTCCCTGCTGGGTGATTTGTAGATCGCGGCTCAAAGCAAATGAGCGCTCCTGTTCCCAGCAAGGTGTGTCGTGGTAACTTCATGCTGGATTACATTTTTTCATTGTTTCAGTAAGTTTATGATTCACTGTACAAAGCATTAAAGCAGAAAATAGCCCTTTTCAGAAACTTGCTTGTTTTTACATAAATGTTGTTGGTTGGCTGTATTGTTAGTTGAATGCATATTTGTCAAACCTTTTCTGTTTTGATAATGCTTAAAATTTCCAATACTGCAGCTGAAATAGGTTTGGTGGGGTTTTTTTTAGATTATTTTTTTTCCCCAACTATGCAATTCACCTGGTGCTACTAAAGTAATACTATTTTTATATTCTGGTTTGCGGATAAGTTGTCATATACTGCCGTTTGCTTAAAATGAATGTCAGCTCTAATGATGCAACTTTACCTGTATTTAACCCAGAGTGTAGATATATTGCAAAATTACTATCACATGCTATGTACTTTTTTCTTCACTTCAAATTGCACAAAATTGATTCTAAACCTTTTCACTTAAAGCCAAATTTCTGTAATGTATCTCTCAGTAATAATTTTATTGATATTTTCACATATGATTTAATGCTAGTCTTAAATTATAATACAGAATTTAAAAAAAAATGAAGATGTCATTGAATCTTTGAATGTGGTTATGAAAGATAACATATGCATTTTAACCTTAGTTTTAGGAATGCTTAAGTCATTACACCAACTTCAAGTTGAAAATAGGCGGTTAGAAGAGCAGATAAAGAATCTGACTGCTAAGAAGGAACGGCTTCAGCTACTCAATGCACAGCTCTCGGTGCCCTTTCCAACAATAACTTCAAATCCTAGCCCTTCTCATCAAGTACATGCCTTTCCAGCACAAGCAGGTAAGCAAAGGAGAATATTAAAGTGTCAAAGTAATTTGAACACGTATTTACATGAAATCTTTCATCCATGTATGCCATTGAAGGGAGATGTGTATGCATGTAGGATGAATATAGACTAAGTATTTGTTGATGTGTTTAAAAGTCAGTTGGAAGATTTATATGAACCATTAATACTTGTTTCAGTGCAGTTTCTTTTTTACTTCAATCTGGAGCCCATCTGTTTGAATCTATTGATTCACCAATTATTTTACTATTCAGCAGTGATTTTAAGGTTGACTTTGTTTTCTGTGTTTGACATTATTTTGAAATAATTATTCTGAATCTTTTTACATGTTACAGAAATTTAACCACTGTGTGTTTTTTGAAATAATTACTTTAGCACCTAGCACTGATTCCTTGAACAGCAGTAAAAGCCCTCATCTGGGAAACAGTTTTTTACCGGACAATTCTCTCCCTGTATTAAATCAGGTAATTTTTATTTGTCTTTTCTAAACTTAAATTTGTTATAAGTTAACTCATCATAGTCCTTGTATTGTGCTGTTAGGTGAAATTTTATGCAGCTGAGGGGGTTTTGTTGTTTGTTTTTACACCAGGAGATAACCTCCAGCGGACAAAGCACCAGCAGTTCATCAGCTCTTTCCACTCCACCACCTGCTGGGCAGAGTCCAGCTCAGCAAGGCTCAGGAGTCACAGGAGTTCAACAGGTCAATGGTGTGACAGTGGGGGCACTAGCTAGTGGTATGCAGACTGTAACCTCCACCATTCCTGCAGTGCCTGGTGTGGGTGGAATAATTGGAGCGCTGCCAGCCAGCCAGCTGGCAATCAATGGAATTGTAGGGGCTTTAAATGGGGTAATTCAGACCCCAGCAACAATATCACAGAACCCTTCTCCTCTCACCCATGCAACCGTGCCACCCAATGCAACGCATCCTCTGCCAACCACGTTAAATAACAGGTAAGAATTTGCTGATTTTATGTTTTTCCTAATAGGGCCTGCTGTGCTTCAGTTTAGATATATTTTTTTAAACTGTCTTATTCAAAAGGTACTGTTAAACTAGCTTCTGCTCCTGATCTGTGAATGAAAGCAAGAAGGCATTTAATGGAAGCACGAATATTCAAGTTAAAGAAAACATGGTTTCTATTTAGGTTTTGGGAATCCTAGTGTCCATTTATTCCTGTTTTTTAATCAAGCTACATTCCCAAACAAATGTAATAATGTAAATGTGCTTCAACTCTTTTTTTTTTTTAAGTTCAGAAAAGAATGTTCTTTATCCTGCCAATTGTTCTTCCAGGATTAAAGGAGCACTGGAAAAGCTACCATTTGTTGCAGTGAGAAGGGGGGAGGGGGAGAAGGAGAACACTATACGGTCATGCAATTAAAGATGTAATAGGCACAACTAACCAGAGTAGTAATACAGTTGCATGGTGGTTTTAGATCTTTACATCTGACTCCAAAGTCAACAAAATTACTTTTTCAAGTGGTGTTCTTAAGGAATTTTAAATGGATAAAAAGATCCATGCTTGAGTATTTGTAACAGCCCTTCCCCAAAACCAGGTATCCTCAGTAGCATAGACTGCTGCTCCTTGGGCTGCAAGGCAAATGGGTAACAAAAGGAGACAGCTGCTTTCCAGGAAGGGGAAGGGGCTGCTTAGTCTGGAAGTATTTTGTGTTAGAGCAGAGCCTGGGCTAACTCATTCTCCCTGCTCCCCTTCCCCCACCCCTTGTACTGTCCTTCGCTTAGGAAGGAGAATTAGGAAGAACTACGGTTCTGTGTAGAAAGAAATGCTTGCAACAGGGAGTACATTACTTGTCTTTAAGTAGAGTTTATTTTTGGAGATGATGGTGGATTACCCATCAAAATGGCCTGTGTGATTGGAATGATGCAAGGGATCCCTAGTTTTTTAGCTTCTTTTTCCAGCTGCTTTCCCCACTGTTTGTTTGGCAGCTCCTGAATATTTGAGTGCCATATCAACCTGTGGTACTCCTTCAATAGGCTCATAAAACCTGATACTTTTCCAGTGTATCCATTTGTCTTGATGTGCTATTATATTGTTACTGAGGGGGTTATATTTTTTCATAGTTTATATCCTATATGAACGTAACAGTTTATAGGTTAAACAAAAGTGGTTTTGTTAATGCAAAATTATCTTATTTCTTGAGTATCAGAGGTCTGCTGAAAACACAAGGATTTTGTTTTACTATCCCCAAAAGTGTGAGGAGGAGTGAAAAATACTAGACAAAATCAGTAATATTAACTAGTTGTATAATACTTTCCACTTTTAGGTAATGCCAAAATATACTGGTCATGCTGCTGGTTTCTCATATGAATTTGTTAATACACAGATGATTTATTTCTGACTCTTTATATTGCAGAAGTTCTTTTTTATATATCCATTTTAACTGCTGTAACTCCTGAGTGTGTAGCCTAGTAGTAGACTACTCCAGTTTACGCAAAATACTGCAACTATTATCCTGTTTATAAGCTCTCATTCTAACTTCTAGCATAGTCTGGAATACTCCATTGATTCCCTATTTTCTGCTACAACAAGCTTATGATGTGCCAGCATTTCCATTTCTCTATTTCCATTCTTAGGTGATCTTTCTGCACTGCTTCCTCAATACTACAGATTTAAAATTTTATATTAAAATTTAAAAGTGCACTTTTCAAACAATTCTCTGCTTTATTGAGCTCATCCAGATGATTTGCTGGGCCCCCTTTCTTTTGATGTGTTTCACAGTTGCCCCCATTTTCTGTGAGTTTTCAGTATTTCTAGTTGTATATTTAGAAGAAAAACGTTCAGGCCAAGTAAGCACTAATGCTAATTAGTGCTAGTGTGGTTTTAGTAATAACACACACATTCCTCATTCCTGCTTCTTCCATTACAAATGCTTCAGTGAAAAATATGAAAAAACTTTTACTGGAACCAAGTTGTGAAGAGGCTCTGGGATGACTCTGAATGAAGGAAAAAAGAAAAGAAAGGAAAAGGGGGGGGAAAAAAAAGAGAAAAAAAACCCAACTATTTTCCACTGAGATCATTGGTTCTGAAACTATATGGGACACCATTTGTTCCTGCCATTCTTAAGTTCAGTGATGTTTCAGTGGCAAGTAGTTGTCTATTTATTTAACGTTCTCTAGGTATCACTACTCTTTGAACTGCCTAAGTGGGAAGGTTAAATCGTAACAAACAGGCAGGCATGGAGGTTTGCTACCATGCTATTGTGAGCTTTCCAAACCTGGTTAGATCCACAGGGTGGTGATTGAGTTTGGAGGCTGTTTAAATCAGTATTCACAAAACGGTGGAAAGCCACATGAGAACTCATCCCTGCTTTCTCACTTTTGTGTATTGTTCTGTAATTAAAAGACTTCCCAGATGTTCCTGTAAGTTGCTACTTACAGTGACTTCCCAGGCTTCAGAATCTGTTCGAACAGTTCATGTGAGAAAGAGCTGGATTATTCACCAATATGTGAAGGCTTCTTTATGCGTATTGTCCCTATTCATGGGAGCTCTTTAACTGTGGGATGTAGGGAGGTGAGAAAACACTGATTTGCACGCTGCTGTTTGGGAGAGTTTCAAATTGTAGGTAAAAGAGCCTACATTCATTTGGCAGAAAAAAGTACTCGATGCTTTTCTGGGAAAAAGAAAGATGGCTTAATACAGATTGCTAGCAACTGGGAGATTAAGTGATTTGAGGAAAAAGATAAGATTGCTTCTTTACATTCTCACAACCAGAGGAGACTGTAGGACGGAGAATTTCAGACTGATCGTATACCTTTTAATGAGAAGCTGAAAAGGATTAAATTTACATTCCAAGCTGACCTGGTTTAGAGAAAGCTCTGTGGTGAAGTCCAGTGAACTGTCTCTTCTGGGAAGCTTGGGAGCTGCAGCGTTTTGTCTTCTGCAGTTAGGTTTTGTTTCTAGACACTTAGATCTCAGCTGTTGGCTGAGGGTATTTTCTTTTGAGTGCCAATGCAGAGCAAGGGAGGAGGGCAGAGCAGATAGAGAAGGGAGAACAACAGCAGAAAAACAAAGAAGTGCAAAAGTAAAACATGATATAGGAAAAAGAAAGAATGGGATAAAAGAATGAAAAAACAGCAGAGAAGATTCATTCCAGCATAGAAGAGTACAGAAAATGGGAGGTTAAAAGAGAAGAAGGAAATGATGGTAATTAGTCAAACTGAAGGTACTTATTTTTTGCAGTTGTTATAAATATTTTTGATACAATTCAATTTAAAGCTGTTTGAAGGAATTTCAATTAACTGATGAGTGTCATCTTTTGAATGTCAAACACATGCGCAGTTTTACCCTATGTTAGACCTGAGCTTTGCTGTTGTAGCACAGGAGGAAGATTGAGGAGTTTTCTTGGGTAGGTGAAGTGTCATCTCTGCTTTCATCAACAATCAAACATTGCTAGCAGTTAGTGGGGAATAAATAGAATGGTGTTATCCATTTGTGTTCTGTCATGTTAAATCCCTGGTGTGTGTGTGTGTGTGTGTGTGTGTGCGTGCGCGCACTTGGAATACTATGTGTAGCTCTGATTATGCAGTTTCAGAAAAGGATATAATACAAGGGAAAAACCAAGCAAGAATAAGCAGAGGCAGAACAGCTTTCACAGGACAGAGTCCATAGAATTGGCTTATTGGCTAGGGAAAAAGACCTTTGATAAGAGGTTTGAGAACCAGGAGAGTGGTAGAAGTGATAGTAAGGAATGTGAAGTAGATGGTGGGAAATCATAGAATTAGCTTGGAAAAGACCTTTAAAATCGAGTCTGACCCAAGTGCAGGACCCAGCACTCAGCCTTGTTGAATCTCATACTGTTGGCCTCGACCCATCAATGCAGCCTGTCCAGATTCCGAGGGTGCACTCAATCCCCTCATCCGTATCATTGATAAAGGTGTTAAACAGGAGTGGCCCCAATACTGAGACCTGGGGGACACCACTCGTGACCGGCCGCCAGCTGGATTTAACTCCGTTCACCACAACTCTCTGGGCCTGGCCATTCAGCCAGTTTTTTACCCAGCGAAGTGTGTGCCCATCCAAGCCATGAACAGCCAGTTTCTCCAGGAGAATGCTGTGGGGAAACTGTCAAAGGCTTTACTGAAGTCCAGGTAGACAATATCCACAGCCTTTCCTTCATCCACTAAGTGGGTCACCTTGTCATAGAAGGAGATCAGGCTAGTCAGGACCTGCCTTTCATAAACACAGGCTGGATAGGCTTTATCGCCTTCTTGTCCTGTATGTGCCACATGATGGCACTCAAGATGATCTGGTCCATAACTTTGCCTGGCATGGAGGTCAGACTGACAGGCCTGTAGTTCCCTGAATCCTCCTTCCAGCCCTTCTTGTAGATGGGCATCACATTTGCTAACTCCCAGTCAGCTGGGACCTCCCTGGTTAGCCAGGACAGCTGGTAAATGATGGGAAGTGGCTTGGTGGGTACTTCTAGCAGCTCCATCAGTACCCTGGGATGGATGCCATCCAGCCCCATGGACTTCCCATAGACATAGATTTCCCATTTCCCCATAGGAAATAATAAGTGCAGCCCAGCACGTTTCCCTTGGCATTGAGACCATCCAGTGAAGTATGAAACAAAGTTTGTATGTTGCTTGCCCTGTCCCAGCAGTAGAGAATACTGATGGTATGGGTATTTTCATACTGGCTGACTAATACAAAGTAAATGTAAAAGTAATCATGGAGCCAGGCTACAGTGTGCTAGCTACTGTAGAAAGGTGAGAGAAATATTATGTCCCTAAATGACTGTAACCTAACTATGTGGATTTGTGGCTGATTTAATTCCTTACTACCAATCAGAGCTAGCACTCCTTCCAGCCCGCTGGCCATCCTGCGCACACCTTCTGGCTGGTACTAGTGCTTGTGCATTCATGCAATAACCTCATCTACATGAACAGATAATCTTTCAGGGTGTTTTGTATTGGCTTCGGTTTCAGCTTAGTTTCCAGGAGATGCAGCTCATTGTGCAAGAGCCAGTGCAAGGGGAGGGGACAGAAATGTGCAGCTGAAAGGGAAATACTTAACCTTTCAATAGCAGAGTAAACCTATCATGAAACTACACCTTAATAATTCAGTGGGTGTTTTAAACTAGTAAAAGCAAACACTGGTACCGAAAGAGTAAATCCAGCTGTCTTCCTGGTCCTTTGTTCCCAAACCCGCTGTTGTTCATGCTGTTGGTCTTGCAGTGAACTGGCATAGCTGAAGAAACCTTTATTTCCAGACCAGTTGTCAGCTGGAGCAGTTTCCTGCCCAATTTCCTAAATAGCTGCAGAAAATTTTATGTAGGCATGAAAATAAGGACGGGGAACTAAGTAGCAGGCAAGTGCAGAGGCAGCCTGCTTCATTCCATCAGCTGGGCTCGCTTCAAGGCTGGGTGTGTTCACAAAATTGCAGACACGGTACAGGCAAATAGTGATAGACTTGATTATAGCAAAGGATGAGAATTGAAAGAAAACCAAGACAGAGTAAAGGCTAGTTAACCAAGTATTAGACGTTAGCGAGAGCTGTCTTACAATATAAAATCCGGCCTTTCTGTATAAAGTATTTGAAAAAATGTAAATGGTAATTATCTGAGTTTAAAATAACATGCATGTAGACGACTTACGTACAGGCAAGATGTTGTTGCTCAGCATAAATAAGACTGGGGATGGTGGTGTAATGTCTAGGTATCAAAAAATGCAACCGGACAATGTGCAGTCAGAAATGCTAAGTAGGCACTCTCTAGTTATATACATATTTTTTGTTTGTTTCAATGGAAAGCCGAAGTAAAAAGTTCCCTTCCTATACTTTCATGTAAACTACAGTATTAACCTGTCAAACCCTACAGTGCCTCGGGACTAGGATTACTTCCTGACCAGCAGAGACAACTTCTACTCCATCAACAGCACCAGCAATTTCAGCAATTACTAAGTACCCAGCAACTCACATCAGTAAGTTTTCCAGTTAATTATTGTTTATTCCTCTATTGTATTCCAAGGCATGGATAAACTCCTCAGCCTAATATAAATACTAGAAATGTGTTTAACTTCATATTACAGGTTTTGATAATCTTTTAGTTTTTCAGTTACTTTGACCTTTTTGGATGATAGTCATACTAAATCACAGGATATTATTGGGCTGTACATGTTGCTAGAAGAATCGTTCCTTAGTGCCTTCAGTCTCATTTCGTCACCTGTGGACATGGTGGCTTGTCTCCCTCAGCATCAGCCCTGGGCAGCAGAGTTGGGACCACATATGAATTCTAATACCCTCAGCTATTCTTAGATTCCACTAGGACTTTAGCAAAAGATTTTTGGGTATCATTTTGTGAGCTGTCTTTGCTCTGCCTTGCAGTATTCATATCGACCATTAGGTAACTGACAATTATTTGTATTGTTAATTGAGTGGTTCAGTACTTTGACAAACATGGTTTGATATTCTTCTCAGCTGTGTTTCTTCTGATAGAGGCCTGATGAAGCCAACTGGCTTAGCTGAACTTCTGCTGAGCTATTGATTTCAGGAAATTTTATGGGTGCTTTCTTCCCTTTCCCAGAGTCTTGTGGAACTTCATTAGTGTGACCTAAATTAGCTGGGAATTAGGTTAGGGGTTGCACTGGCTGGAGACTTGGGTAAGCAAGAAGCCAAGGAGGAGCTATTTTTTCAGTAACAAATTCTTGATCTTCTTCCCCCCCCCCCTTCCTCCTCCCTCAAGGAACAACATCAAGCCCTTTTGTATCAGTTAGTACAGCAGCAACATCACCACCACCAACACCATCAGTCTGAAGTACAGCAATTGCAGATTACTGGAGGAGCACAGATACCTATAAACAACTTACTTTCAGGCACACAGGCCTCACCACTTAATGCAGCTACTACCAACCCATTCCTTACAATTCATGGAGATAATGCAGCTCAGAAGGTGACAGTAAGTATATTTCTCACCTCATTTTCAATGTAGTACCTCCATGAGGTAACTAAAAGATAAGTAGCAAGTTATGTGCCTGTATACACAACTCAAGGATGGTAGATTCTTTCTTTATTTTTCTGGAGCCTTGGGCTGCACTTAATGAGGTTCAGAACTCTGTTAACTTGTAGTCACTTACACCTAACTTGTCTATTGCATGCTCTTGCTTCCCTGGATCAGGACCACAATCCAGTGACCCTGGATTTGCCTTCCTCTTGTAGTGATAACTGCAGCCCTAGTCCTCCTCACCCCACCCTCTTCCCCAACTCTGTGTCCATTGTTTTGTAGCTCATTCTTTTATCATCTTCCTTGAAGAGTTTGTCTGGGCCAGGACTCGGGCACTGTGGAGCTGCAGAGATTAGTTGATGACTTCAGACATGAGGAGCCCATTGCTGGGAAGGTGAAATGTATTAGCAGAGTGGGCTGCATCTGTGTCTTGGTTCTGGGAGGATGAGGCTGTACACTGGGAGGCTGAGTGATGCCTTTGCTTGGTGGAGTAGTAAAATCTTTCCTAGACAGATAAGGAAACAAGACACATTTTTCCACCAAAGAGAGTCAGAGAATAGACTTCATTTTCTAAGGTCATACAATTAAGATAAGAAAGGATGAAGGGAAGGAGCATGTGGAACTTGTAAAATGAAGGGTGAGTAGAGCAGGAAGACAGAAGTTCTAGTATTCCTTGAACAAGACATCAAGCGGCAGAGGTAGTAAAAAAAAAAAAAGGGAAGCTTGTCTGCAACAGCAGGCAGGAAAAGTTTGGGGCTAGATATTGGTCTCTTCTCTGCTCCCCACCTCCAAAGTGTCCAGCTGCTTTAGGGGCACAGTGGTGACGAAGGACTCAAGCAGCTGGGCTTTTGTGGTACTTCCCAAACATAAGGTGAGACACAAAACACACGATAAGGAGTTTTCAAGACAGTTTCCTAGAAACAGCCCCCTCCCATTCAAAAATCTGAGCCTTTACTTTTATTAAGCTCTACGCATGGTCCTTGTCACTTCTTTGGTCTGTTGTGATGTTGCAACCAGACTGCAAACTGCAGGGCTCCAAGCAAGATCATGTGCTCTCCTGGTCCCCGACTGTCAGAGCAGAAGCGCTGTAACAGGGGCTTGCTCAGTGCTTTGCCTTCATTTAGACACATTCACAATTTGTTCTAGTATGTTTAAAATGTATCTCCCTTTATTTTCTAAAAATTAGTAGTGAATGAAATCGAGGCCCTATATTTGGCTTGCCTCAGAACAAACTATTCTGTATGTGACCTTATTTAGAATTCTTTGAAATGGTTATTACTAGCTTTGGACAGTGTGACTGGGCAGCACTAGTATGTTATACCAATCTGCTGTTACAGTTTTAGTTTTTGTTCTAATAACAGTTAGCTGTAAACAATTCCAGGAAATCTCAGAACATACTTTGAACAAAACCCTTAGAAATAAATTTCTTCTGAAATGGCTTTTTTTTTAATGAAAAGGTTAGAATTAAGACAGATTGCATTGGATTATTGAACTACTTTAATCCAAAAATAATTTAAAAAAAATTATCTATTTGCCCAAAGTTTGAATGTTTTTATCTCATTTCCTGTTGGAACAGGTTTTTGACATTTCTGAATGCTCAGTGAAGGAGATGAGGTTTTTGCAGTACTTGCAGGAAACGTTTTGTAGCAATTTATGAAAGAAAAATAATCATGGTAGGCAAAATGCAAGTTGTATTTCTGTTCTGATGGAGAAGTGTAGAATTCAGCCCTCACCAGTGAGTAAAATGTAGCAGAGGTAGCCTGGTATTTTGTCTTGACCATCATGTGCTTCTAAGGAGAGACCAGCAGCTA